AGGGCGAGAGCAAGGACCACCTTGTCCTGGGAGGACTTTGACCAAACTGGGTTAGTGTGACCGAAAAGGTGGAGGCAGCCAATAGTGCTTTTGCACATACAGCACATTTGAGGTTTCTGCTTTGGTTGATGCCTCTCTTGTTGCCTGAAAAGTCTATCCCTAAAGCAAAAACTGACTTCAGGGAGTAATTGACAAATTCGTCATCAGAGTGGGAGATTTAGCACATTTTTCTTAGTAATTGATAGATCAAACAGCCATAATATTCAGCAAAGTTATAAAGGTTTTGAACAACATGATTAACAAGTTTGATGCACAGGACTTACATAGAACACTGCACTCAACCACTGGTGAATACACCGTTTCCGAAAATCACATTACACTTATGAAAACTGATGATACATTAGGTATGGCGCAAAGCAAATAAACATCTCAACAAATGTCAGACATCTGTATCATAAGACTGCATACAATTAAGTTAGAAATCAGTGAAAAGGATAAGTTAGAACCTCCATACATTCTGAAATTTAAAAGCATGTCACTTGAAAATCCAGAGACAGAAAGCTCGCAGTTGCCAGAGGCGGGGAGGAGAGAGGGCTGTGGAGTGACTGCGTAAGGGGCAGGGGTTTCCTTTTGGGGTGATGAAAATGTGCTGGAACTAGATAGAGGTGGTGGTTGCGCAATAAATTATACACTTCAATATGCTTACCTTTGTGTACGTGCACGTCACTCAATTTAAAAAGGCGTTCCTATCTCTGTGTATAAATCCTAATCTGTGGATACATGGGTATGTGGTTTGTGAAACTTTTTCAAGCTATACACTATGACCTAGGCCAGTGATGGCGAACCTATGACACGCATGTCAGAGGTGACACGCGAACTCATTTTTTTGGTTGATTTTTCTTTGTTAAATGGCATTTAAATATATAAAATAAATATCAAAAATATAAGTCTTTGTTTTACTATGGTTGCAAATATCAAAAAATTTCTATATGTGACACGGCAGCAGAGTTAAGTTAGGGTTTTTCAAAATGCTGACACGCCGAGTTCAAAAGGTTCGCCATCACTGGCCTAGGCACATTTCTATATCATATATGTGTATGTGCTTTCTATATTATGCCTCAATAAAGAGTTTAAATTAAAACACACACATACTTAACTCATAGGTCAACAAGAAAAGTCATACTGTAAGGTATAAAAAACAAGAACTACATGACACTACACTCAAAATTTATGATGTGCAGTGAATTCATTCAGATATCAGCCATGATAGAGGATGACGAGCTGTCCAAGGTGCACGTGAAAGTAAATGTACAGCTTTAAATGTTTATTTGGGGCGAGGGGGGTGGGGAGGAGGCTCAAAACTAATAAGCCAAGATTGAAACATAAGAAGGTAGAAATAAAATAGAATATCTTCAAATAAAGTAAAAAGGAGAAAATAATCTTAAAATAATGAAACAGATAATAGATACAATAAAGATGATCAACAAAATTAAAAGTTGTTTTTTTGAAGAGACTAATCCCTGGAAAGATTGAATAAGGAAATGATATATATACTAGAGGCCCGGTGCACAAAAATTTGTGCACTGGCGGGGGGTGGGGGGGTGTCCCTCAGCCCCACTTGTGCCCTCTCGCAGTCTGGGACCCCTCGGGAGATAATGAACTGCTGGCTTAGGCCCGCTCCCGGGTGGCAGAGGGCAGGCGCAATCCCTAGGTGCAGCCCCTGGTCGGGCTCAGAGCAGGGCTGATTGGGGAGTTGGGGCGCCGCTCTCTGTCATGCACAGAGCAGGGCGGATTGGGAGGTTGCGATGCCACCCTCAGTCACGCTTAGGATAGGGCCGATTGGGGGGTTGGGGCACCGCCCCCTGTCACACTCAAGGCAGGGTCGATGGGGAGGTTGCAGCACCACCCCCGTCACGCACAGAGCAGGGCCGATCAGGGGGTTAGGGCGCTGCCCCCTGTCACGCACAGAGCAGGGCCCATTACGGGGGTTGGGGCTCCGTACCCTGTCACACACAGAGCAGGGCCAATCAGGGGGTTGGGGAGCTCCCCCTGTCACGCACAGAGCAGGGCTGATAGGGGAGTTGGGGAACCACCCTCTGTCACACTCAGGGTAGGGCCAATGGGAAGGTTGCGGCTCCACCCCATCACACACAGAGCAGGGCCCATGGGGGGGGGGGGTTGGGGCACTCCTCCCTGTCACACTCAGGGCAGGGCTTATGGGTAGGTTGTGGCTCCACCCCGTCACACACAGAGTAGGGCCCATGGGGGGGGGGGGTGGGTTGGGGCGCCACACCCTATCACACACAGAGCAGGGTCGATCAGGGGGTTGGGGCACTTTCCCCTGTCATGAACAGAGCAGGGTGGATAGGGAGGTTGTGGCCCCGCTCCCTATCACACACAGAGCCGCAGGGTGATCAGGGGGTTTGGGCGCTGCCCCCTGTCACGCTGCTCCAGGGGCCAGGAGGCCTCATGACTCCGCTGATCCCAGTGCTGGGAGGCCTCACAGCTCCGCTGATCCCAGTGCTGGGAGGCATATTACCCTTTTACTCTATAGGATAGAGGCCTGGTGCACGGGTGGGGGCCAGCTGGTTTGCCCTGAAGGGTGTCCTGGATCAGGGTAGGGGTCCCGCTTGGGTGCCTGGCCAGCCTGGATGAGGGGATGATGGCTGTTTGCAGCTGGTCACATCCCCTTCAGGGTGGGGGTCTCCACTGGGGTGCCTGGCCAGTCTGGGTGAGGGGCTGAGGGCCGTTTTCAGGCTGGCGGGTGACTGAAGCTCCCAACTTCTCCTTTTTTCCTTTTTTCTTTTGTATTCTGGGATTTATTTACCTTCTATGGCTGTCACTAGAGCTGAGAGCCAGCTTTAGCTCTGAGGCTTGGCTCCAGCTCTGAGACCTCGGTTTATTTGGCTTCTATAATTGAAACACTGTTGCAACTCCAGCTGGGCCGGCTGGCTGAAAGCGTGGGGTTTATTTAGCTTCTATATTTGCAACATAGTTGCTTAGACTGCAACTCAGAGGCTGGCAGCGGCAGATGGGGAACCTTGGCTTCCTCCTTCACTGGAGCAAGCAAGCCTCCTGTTTGCTTCAGCTGCCTGGCTTCCGGCCGCCATCTTGATTGGCAGTTAATTTGCATATCCTGCTGATTAGCCAATGGGAAGCATTCGGGGTATGGTCAATTTGCATGTTTCTCTTTTATTAGATAGGATATATATATATATATATATATATATATATATATATATAATTTTCCTGGCCAGTGTGGCTCAGTGGTTGAGCATCAGCCCTTGCACCGAAGGGTCGTGGGTTTGATTCCCAGTCAAGGGCACAGTCCTGGGTTGCAGGCTCATTCCCCAGCCCCAATCAGGGCATGTAGGGGAGGCATCCAATCGATGTGTCTCTCTCACATCAATGTTTCCTCTCTCTCCCCTCCCCCTCCCTTCTACTCTCTCTCTAAAAATCAATGGAAAAGATATCCTTTGGTGAGGAGTAACAAAAAAATTAAAAACAAATCAGTAAATAACACACACACACACACACACACACACACACACATATATATATATATAGAGAGAGAGAGAGAGAAGGTGTAAATAGTATTAAGAACAAAGGAGAAAAATATACAAATAGCAAAAAGATAATAGACCTATAAGATGCAAAACCTATGTTGGTAAATTTGAAAATGTGCATTTTAAATGGAAATATTCCTAGAAAAATATAAATTACCAAAAATTGACTAAAAAAGAAATAGAACATAATCAGCATAAAAAAAAATCTTCCCACAAAAGACATCCAAGGCTTTGAGACATTTTAATTATAGCTGCAGATTCTAACCAGTGCATTAAATAAGCAGAATTTATGGATATACTACATTTCTGTCTCCTGCTGTCCCTTTAAGTCTCCTCAGTAAAGGTAACCCCTACCTTGGCACTGGATGAAAACTCAGGCAAGTCCTTGACTTTATGGTTATTACTGAGTAATAAAAATGCCTATATTTACTTTTAGACATAAACCCTGACTCAAATTAGTAACTTAAAATGATAAGCGAGGCTTTCAAGGTAAAAGTTGAGACCTCTCCACCTTCTCTTCCCCCAACCAGGGCTGTGCAGCTGGCCACCCCTTTGGGGGGAAAGAAGGTCACTGTCTTCTCTTTTCCTCTCCCACCTTCTCAATCACCCTTCTCCCGCCCTCCCTCTATCAATCAGGGTCCAAGTGGGAGGCAGAAGACACACCAGTTACCCGAGGACAAATTTAATTTAAAGAATATTAACTAAATGCCAAGTTACTAACCAGGGAACTGAGGAGGCAGGAAAAGAATTCTAAAGTTTCATCAATGTAGCAATTTCAAGAAGCAGCTACCACCCCCAGGGCCCGAGGGAATAAAAGAACGAGGTTTAAGTTTTTAACACTATAGAGCTGAGACCAGGGATCCTGTCACCAGGAGGAAGGGGGGCCCGGCTGGTGCTGGTGTCTCTGAGCTCAGAGAATTGAGCCTGGGAGGTGGGGCCCACACTCTGGAAAGGGGGTGCTGGCCGGCAGGCAGTGCCGCCTCAGGATGCAGGCGTGGATGCCAGGAGCCTGGGCCTGCACGTTTTTTGTAGAAACTGCACGTGGGATTGGCTGCTGCTCTGGAAGGAGCTGCCACTGACGGGGTGAAGAAATGATGCTGCAGCAGCCCACACAGGGACCGCCAGCAGACAAGCTGTCCAGGGAGAGACGCAGGGAGGAGTACCTCCTGATAGATCCTCCCGCCTCCCAGCCCCCCTTCAGCATCCTGATCAGCAGCGGCCAACGGGGAACAGGCGTCAGAGCAGAAATGCGGCCTGCAGGGTTGTGGCCCAGCATCACAGACAGAGAATAAAAGGGCAGGTTTGGGCTGAAAGACAGTAACTTTGTGGCTGGCACAGCCCCATTCGCTCGCAGTTGTTTCTGCTCCAGGTCTGGGGGATGGGGAAGGGAGGAAGACAGAAAGCCCTTACTGAACTGCTGCTGTTTATTTTTAGGGTGCCTTGCTCTCTCAGGACCTGCTGGCTGTGGAAGCTGACTCTCCCTCTCAGGAGTGCTTTCGTGCGATCTATGTTCCTACCCATCGCTGCTGACTTCCTCTGACCTGAATGAATGCACTGCATTCTGGAAGTTGCTTATTAACCCCCATTTAGAATCAAAAGAGCAGCCTCCACCCCCAGCTTCCCTGTAATGAAAGCTGTTCACCTCTCCACTGACCCGACTCTATGGGATGCGATCTGAGATGACCCCGTGCCAGCTCTTTTGTGTGTTTCTGGCTGCAGAGGAGCCAAGGAAACACTCATGCATTCTTTGCCCAGACAAATTCGGGGCAGCAAGCTGATTCAAGCCCAGCAGCGCCCTTCTTTCTCTCCATCACCTAAGGAGCCAGCCAGCCTGTTCTTGCCTTCTGTGTGCTAGATGAGAGCCAGACACAAGTCCCCTGGACAGCCTAGCAGCAGAGAATACATACGGGGCTCTCCGAGAGGAAGTACTGAATCCCATCTTGCTCAGTTCACATGAGCCAGTAACACTTCCCCCCAAATCTTGAAAAATCTCCATCAACTGCTCTCAAGACATTACATTACACGAGGAGTTGACAATGTTCAGGAATGAATTCCTGGGTATTTCCATCGAAAAGGCTCTCTTGGCCTACCATTCCACTTTGGAAGTTCATATCTCTTAAATCTTAGTGCTTCAAATGAAACTTAATTGAACATCTTCTTGCACCAATCTTAAATTCTTCCAATTCAACCTATGAGATTAGTGTAACATTGGTCTTAAAATTAAATTTAAAAGACTAGGAAGGAAAGTTTTAGGCCAATTTTTTTCATAACCAAAGTTGCAAAAACAAACTATTATCAACCAAATCCAGGAGAATATGAAAAAGATCATCAATCATACTAAATTGGGTTTATCCCAGGAATGAAAAAATGGTTTAACATTATACAGGCCATTAATGTAATTCCTTACATTAACAGATTAGAGAAGGCAGACCATTTGGCTATCTCAATAGATGCAGAAAAAGCATTTGAGAAAAGCAAACTCATTTGTGACAGAAACTCTGAAAATAAAAATTAGGAATGTAACTTCTTTAACAGGATAAAAGTCCAAAACAAAAGCTTATGACAGACACTAATATTATTAATGGTAAAGCTTACAAGTATTCCCTTTAAAATCAGGAACAAGTTGAAGATGCCCAATATCATCATTCTATTCAACATTATTCTCATTAGTAAAATTTTAAAAGATCCTATATAATAAAAGGGTAATATGCAAATTGACCCTAACAGCAGAATGACTGGGAATGACTGGTCACCATGACACACACTGACCACCAGGGGGCAGACGCTCAATGCAGGAGCTGCCCCCTGGTGGTCAGTGCGCTCCCACAGGGGGAGCTCTGCTCAGCCACAAGCCAGGCTGATGGCTGCCAGTATAGTGGTGGTGGTGGGAGCCTCTCCCGCCTCCTCAGCAGCGCTAAGGATGTCTGACTGCAGCTTAGGACTGCTCCCTGCTGGCAAGTGGACATCCCCCGAGGGCTCCTGGGCTGCCAGAGGGATGTCTGACTGCCAGTTTAGGCCCAATACCCTGGGGAGCAGGCCTAAGCCAGCAGGTGGTCATCCCCCGAGGGGTCCCAGACTGCGAGAGGGCACAGGCCGGGCTGAGGGACCCCCCGAGTGCACAAATTTTTGTGCACTGGGCCTCTAGTAAATAAATAAAAGTCATACAAATTGGAAAGGAAGGAATTAAACTATCATTATTAGCAGATGACATAATCGCTTATAGAAAATATACAAAAGAATCTGTAGTCAAATTATTAGGATTAAGAAAATAATTTAGAAAAGTGCCTTTTCACACAGCAGTCATAAAAATTATAGCAATATAATTTTTAAAAGATATTATTATAATAAAAAACTATAAATAAGGGCAATATCTTAAATGGAGAGAAACTTTATTGAAAATGTTAAAACTAAGAGATATACTGTGTCCATAGGTAGAAAGACTCAATGTCATAAATATGTCAACTCTCCCCAAATTCAATGCAATTTCAACCAGTATCTCAATAGTTTATCATAGACCTTAATAATCTGATTCCAAAATTTACATAGGAGAGCAAAGGCCCACAAATAGTTCTTATTCTTGAGGTGTAATGGGGTGGAGGGGGGTTGCCCTGACAAATAGCAAGATTGATATATCTATGTATGTAAGACAATATAGTATTGAAACAGGGATGGAAAAATAGACCAAAGGAAAAAATAGTGAGCAGTGTGTGTGTGTGTGTGTGTGTGTGTGTGTGGTGCATGTGTGAGATACAGGGGATGACAAGGAATGAATTGTTCAATAGATAGTGTGGGAACAAGAGTTTATCCATATTGGGAAAATGATATTGTATTCCTTCCTCACATTATATAGAAAATAAAGTTGGGGTGAAATAAAAACTTAAACATGAAAGGGAAAACTTTAAAAATTGCATATGTCAATATAGGGAATATTTTATGATTTGGGGTAAGGAGTATTTTCTAAACAAGACCCAGAAAATATAAACCATAAAGGAAAAGATTGGAAACTTAATATATTTTTATTATTATTATTATTATTATTATTATTATTATTATTTTGCTAAAGCTGGCAACTTTACTCACAGGGAGCTCTGGTGATACTTAGAACGTTCTATTTCAGCCCTGGCCATGCGGCTCAGTTGGTTAGAGCATTGTCCCAGTCAGGGCACATACAAGAATCAACCAGTGAATGCATACATAAGTGGGACAACAAATTGATGTTTCTCTCTCTCTCTCTCTCTCTCTCTCTCTCTCTCTCTCTCTTTCTCTCTTTCAAAATCAATTATTAAAAGTTTTTTTTAAAAGAACATTCTATTTCTTAATTTGGGTGGTAGGCGCATGGCTGTTCATTTTATTGTTTTATTTAAAAAACAAACCAACAAACATTAAAGCAAGTCTGTCATTGTTTATAATTCTTCTTGGTGGATCCAAAGCTTTTGCCAAGAAATCAGCAGTAGCTGTAGGCTAGGACTGGGGTGTCAGGTGCTGCTCCTCCCTGGCCACCTGGGGATGCGTCAAATTGCTTGTGGTGGGGCTTTCTCCTTGTTGCTCTCTTTGTGCTTCTGTTGGTGATTACTTCTTCTACCCCACAACTAAACAGCAGCTGTTGGAATCAGTTAGATAGGCTATCCCACCATCCTCCTTTTACAGTGTCTGGAAGTGTGAGGTGGTATGCAATGCAAGATACACTCTAAGGTCATGTTCCAAGCCATAAAAGATTTTTTAACTATCAAAGGGCCCTGGTATCTCCCCAGTTCCTCAGAAAGAAACACATCAGAAAAGAGATCACAAAGAACATCCAGATTAAAGAGCTATTACTTGCAAAATCACTTGCCTAGTTCCATGGGAAGGAGATTACTGGAGGGAGAAAAGCCTTCCATACATTTCATTGATGAAGACTCAATATCTAAAGCCTCTTCTTGAAGCAAGTGCATAAGAAGAGGGTAAAGACTTTGCACAGAATACTGAGAACCCCAAAACAAGAGTAGGGAATTCTAGCATAGCACTAATAGCAAGGGGTGGGGTGTGGGGGCTTCTCAGAACATAAGAGGAGATTCCCACCAGATAGGCCATTAACAAGCCCTGGGATTGTGAGCAGCTCATGCTGTATTTATTCCCTGTGCTTAATCCAGTGACTGGCATAGACTTGTCCTCAGTAAATGTTTGTGGGTGGAATGGACGAATGCATCGTGGATGAAAGAAATACTAAAGGGATTGTAAAGGTTATTACCAGATCCTTAGAAAAGAGGCATTAAAGAGTCACATCAGATTCTGTTGATTGTCTCCTTCATGTCCAGAGAGGGCAAAACCAAAGAAGCAGCTATTCCTAATGGATATTCCTAACAGGTACCACCTTATCTAGGCCTGCTTTCTGCCTGGGTTTGCTTAGTCACTCCTGCACGCTGTTTTATACATCGTTGGTTCCTTCTGGTTTCTTTTTCCATAAGGTGCTGATACACTGGCCTTCTCCATCAAGTCTTGCATTTAGGTAATCATTCATCCAATAAGTATGTATAAGGCATGTGCCAGGTACTGTGCTAAGCCCTAAAGAGGTAGAAGTAGTTTTTAATGAGCACTTACTAAATCAGGCATAATTTGCAGCCTGCAGCAGCAGGTACTAGTATTATCCTATTTTACAGATGAAGAAACTCAGAGGCGAATAAGACAACAGCTTCAAGAGGGAAGACGAACATTTGCAATACACTGTTCTGAGGATTTTCCAAAGTGCCATGGGAACATAGGGTATATGTGACCTGAGATGCTGTCCCTTACCACCTATACTAGATAGCTACTGATGCACAACAATATTAGCATCCAACGAGCACCCGAAAACAACACACACTTATTTTCTCACAATATCGGTGCAATTAGGGGTCCAGGTTTAGCTGAATTCTCTGCTTCAAGGTTTCTCACAATCAAGGTCTCAGCCAAGGCTGGGTTTTCATCTGAATGCTTGACTGGGGAAGGAGATGCTTCCAAGCTCCTGTGGTTGTTGACAGCATTTAGTTCCTCCTGGGCTGTCAGACTGAGGGCCTGTTTCTTGCTGGCTGTCAGCTGTCGGCTGCCCTCACTCAATTCCTTGCCACGTTGCCCTCTCCATAGGGAAGCCAATGGCAGCCTGCTTCTCCAAAGCCAGCGAAAGAGCAGGTCTCCTAACAAGCGGGGCATTAAAGTCTTATGGAACACAATCTAGAAGGGACATCCTATCACCGTTTCCATATTATATTGGTCAAAATGAAGTCACAGGTCTGGCCACACTCAAGGATGTGAATATAGAAGTTGGGAAGCAGTTTAGAGCCTGTCCACCTACCACCCTTTGCTCTTCCTTGTGTGCCCAGGTTAGCGGCCCCTCCCATCTGCCTCCAGAGCCACTAAGGCTGCCACAGGTGGCTGTGCAAGCACCTGACTGCTATGTGAAAGGCCCCTGCCCCACCTGGAGTTGTGTAGTGCACCACTTGCTTATATAACCACACCCAGCAGCCCTGCACTTCCACCAGTGTTCAAAATAATACATTGTGATTATGTTTACTTTTCCCTCTCTTCACTCTACTGAAAGCTCCTTGAAGTCAGAGACTAAAACATTTATTTATTTACTTATTTATTTATTGTAAGCATTGTTTTTAATTTTATTCTTAAATTACAGTTTACATTCCATGTTATTTTGCATTAGATTCAGGTGGACAGCATATGGTTAGACCAGTGGTCGGCAAACTCATTAGTCAACAGAGCCAAATATCAACAGTACGATTGAAATTTCTTTTGAGAGCCAAATTTTTTAAACTTAAACTATATAGGTAGGTACATTGTTATTAACTTAATTAGGGTACTCCTAAGGCTTAGGAAGAGCCACACTCAAGGGGCCAAAGAGCGGCATGTGGCTCGCGAGCCGCAGTTTGCCGACCACGGGGTTAGACAAACAAACACTTCACAAAGCGCTCCCCCCTGTATTTCCAGCACCCACCTGGCACCCTACCCAGTTATTACAATACTACTGACTGCATTCCCTGTGCCGTGCTTACACCCCCGTGACTATTTGTAACTACCGATCTCTACTTCTTAATCCCTTCACTTTTTAACCAGTCCCCCAACTCCCCTCCCCTCTGGCAGCCACCAGAGACGGAAGCTCTTATTTTTATAGCTCAGCACAGCAGGTGCCAAGCAAGTGTTTGTCAGACAAATGGGAGACGTTGCAGCCAGCTCACCTGGAGTAGCCGGGAGGACGTGTGGGGACAGCGTCACAGAGGAGGCACCTTATGCTCTTCCTTGTCACTCAGCTCTAACTGGACACTGAACGTCCTCAACGGGACTTAGGGAACAATTTCCAACAACATATAATAGCAATAAAAGGAATAATTTCCAATGACATATACTAAAAGGAACAATTTCCAATGAGATGTAATACAAATCTTGGTTTATTGTGCTTTGGTTTCTACTGAATAATCTCCATGGAGATAAAAACAAAAACACCTGGTTGATTCAATCCAGTTAAAATCAGTGTCCTTGTTCTCTGAATGTGGTCATGGGGGGCAGTAAGTGGGGTGTTTCCTAGTTTTCTGGAACTGGCAGGTTGCACCCAGAGCAGAGAAAGGGCACTAAGCTTCCTGCAGTCTGAGTTGGGATGGCATCCAGCCCTGGGTGCACGTTCTTCAGGGCTTGCTGAGGGATGGATGCCATCCCACAGCGCCATCCACAGCACCATCCACAGTGCCATCCACAGTGCCATCCACAGCGCCATCCACAGCGCCCTCCCACAGCGCCATCCACAGCGCCATCCACAG